GTGTGTGTGTGTGTGTGTGTGTGTGTGTGTGTGTGTGTGTGTGTGTTTTACGCATTTTTAAAAAAATCCAGGCCTATGTTTCAGCCAAGACCACCCAGTGAGCCCCAGTGTAGAGCACTTTGGTGACATGAATAAAATATCCACAGAAAAGTGATTTCACTTGGGAGGGCTCATAAGTGGAACTTAACTCTAGCTCCTTTTTTTTAAAAAAGGAATCAGAGCAATTTCCTCTGTTGTTGATTCTCGCCTTTCACCGCTTTCTTTTTTAACCTAAAGTTCATTGGCGATTTTGTTAGTGTGAGCGTATTGAAAACAAAGTGTTCAGGGTTCTCTATGTGACAATCAGCCCTTACAAGCTGACTTTCTCATTTGGCTGACAAGGCACATTTCTGAACAGTTGGTTGGCTCAAATTCTCATTTTTATTTGCCATACCGATTACCATGAAAGAAAAAAATCACAAACTTGCTTAACTTGAGTTTAGCCCAAATCATTCCCCCAAATTTCTGATTGATCTCTTTAATTCTCCTCCCAACTTTGACCACTTGGACTTATTTCCAAGATGGGATCACTTGAGAATTTGAAATTAGAAACAATGACAGAAAAAGAGGAAGTCTTAGCTGTCAACTCTTCGTTACTTACTTCTACCCTGGGAGTTGACCTCTAAGTAGCAGGTCCCTGAGGACTAGCCTAAGGCTCTAGCCTCTGACACCAACCTCAAATTATGCTCCAAGGCCCAGCCTGGCCCATGTGGGCACTGCAGCCAGCACCAGTGAAGTAGGAATTTGCTTACATTTTACCATGTTTCGGGGACCAAATTAACCAGGTCCAAGAATTTCCTTTCTATCCTTAGTTCTGAGCACTAATTAGCTATAAAGTCAGATGGACTCCACTTTCTTATGACCTAGTGTGACTCCACTGAACGCAAGAACCAAGTTCTCTCTGTGATTGCTTTGTGCTAATAAATGCTGTTTGATGCATAGGTCCAGAGTACTTCATGGATGCCTCATCCGCCATACGTTATGCAACCAACAGTAAGTGTTCTCAGTCACCTGAGGCTAAATATTTCTATTATCCAAGTGCAAGCTTTTGTAATGCATAGAAGCTTTGGGGTAAAGCTTTTGTTATATTCCATACCTCTTTCAGGCAGCCATATTTTCCAGATGAAAAGCTGTTCCTGAAATTCTACAAAAGCATGTACAATAGATAGATGGTAAAGTTAGAGAGAAAGAGAGAGAGGTGAAAGAAGGAGAAAGAGAGAGATGAGAGAGAAAGCGATGAGACAGAGAGAGAACAAACTTTGGAGGAAATAGCAGTCAACCTCCTAAGCTGATGTCTACCATTTGTTATGAATGGGAAATTGCTACTTCATGCAGGAATTCTGAACTCTGGACAATTTAATCCATTTATAGGGAGAAAGTCTGTTTTACTTCTTCTGTAATGCTTATTCTCTTTGGATGCAGTTGGATGTGCTTTGGGGGCAATTTTTAGTATCATGCCCAAGCATTGACTCAAAGCAATATATTTGAAGCATGAAGATAGTTGTGTACTAATAGATGAAGATATATATAGATAGAAAGCAAGGTTGCTAGATACTTTTTTTTAGGTTAAATAACTAGAGCCATTCTCTTTTTTTCTTTAGTGGAAAATCTCTTCTAAAAATATTCTAACTCTATTTTCTACTTGCTATATTTCCCATTTTGTGGCACAATATTATTTAAATCCCAAGGGAAAATATTACATATTTCATTAGAATCTAGACTGAAGGCTAATGATTCTATTTATCTTTGTCTAGGTTTTCCAGGTTTTCTAGCTCTGTAGAAGTATAAGATCGAGTGATTTCAATAGCAATATATATTCATGAGAATGGGAAGTAGGGGGGGTGGAGAACTGGACAGAAAGTCATGTGACGAGGTCTGTGGAATACTCTCCTGAGCATGCTCACATCTGTGCCTTTGTTTCCTTTTCTGTCACTATATTAATGGGGCTATTGGGAGGATCAGATGAGAGCATATGTGAAAACAGTTTTTAAAGTATGACATGCTATACATTATTATTGACGTTATCCTTCTTACAATAGAATGTATTAGTTGTACAGGGAAAAAGCAATGCTACATTTTAACCCATTTAAAAGCTAAATATCAATAAGTTAGCACACATTAAAGAGCAGGGAACTAAATTCAGAGGCATCCATTTCTTGGAGTCAAAGGATCATAACACCTGGTTTTCATATTTGAGTTTTGTCCATTTTTTTAAAAAAAGAAGGAACATTCCTCATTGCTCTTAATGTTTTGATTGTTTTTTATTTAAAGAATAAAATATATATAGCTTAGTATGCAGAACTTTAGACCATATTTTTCAAATTCCTCTATTTACTCTTATTTACACAACTTGGGGGATTCCTGAGTTCCTCTGGTCTATGTTCTATAAATCATATCAACATACAATGAATCCAGGCTACACTTTCATATCCAAGTCATGAGATAAAATATAATATACACTGCCAAGCCAATATATAGCACAGACTGAGCCGACACAGGGAAAGAGAAGTTCGGCCAAGTTCTAAAGTGGAGACTTTCTAGAAGGGAAAAACTACCTTATAAAAAATAATATCTTCATATACAGGGCACTAATGATAGCTTAGGCCTCACACTGAGGTGACAGATCATCTCATTGTGGCCAAAGGGAATGCACATCTGCAAAAATCCAAATATTTTCCCAGATGTCAAAATATGTAAGATTCTACCAGTACTTCTAGAACTGTGAGCAGAAGGGAAGATGTTTCTATGTATCTTTACTTCAGCTGTCACTCAGGACATTAGCAAAATTTTTCTTCCTCTCCTCCTCCACTCCAGCATGGCTTCAGCCCCATTTTTGGATGTGTTATTTCTCATACATCTTTCTCCAGCAATAGCTCTGTGCATGTGTGTATGTGTGTGTGTGTGTGTGTGTGTGTTAATTTATCCCCTTGGATATTCCTTGCTATGGCTACTGCTCACTGATATCACTCACTTCCTGTGACTAGACAGTGCATCATGTTTGAGTTTAGGTTACTTGGTTTAAAATACAATATTTGTGGCTGGGGCAGATTCCTGGAAAAAGGAGTGCCTGGGCCACCCACCACTTTGTTGTCTTTAACATGGAATAATAGGCTAAACAGTGTCATGGAAACAGAGTTTGTGCCATCAATCTTTTCCCTGAAACAGTCTTGCTAGTTGTCTATATTGCATAAATAACCTTACCCAACCAGTCTTAATTTCATCATCAAAATGGGAGTTAAATTAATCACTGTACGATTAATAAATACAAAATAAATAATAAATGTTAAAATACAAAAATACTTAAGCAATCTAAGACAGATAAAACAAATATCTGGATCTGAGAAGAATGAATGAATGATGTGATGATTAATGGCATGAGTTGTTGGTTAGGCTCTTTGAGATAGGAAACCTTTCTGTTATGCAACTCTGGGCAATTAAACTTTCTGAGTCACCATTTCCTCATCTGTAATATAGACATACTAATGCCTAAATAATTATGCACTTTTTTCATTAAAAGAAATAAGGTATTAAAGCTCCTAAAATTTAGTATGGCAAATAGCAAACACTCAGCAAATTACTATTATTATTACTTAGTTATATGAGTACACTGAACATTATACTTGAGATTAGCCCAATTATATAACATGAGAGTTGGTACAGAAGAAAGTTGAGAATAAGCAATAATCACCTATTTCTACCACATTCGTACTATTTATTTAACTTACTTTGCTAATGAGTTTTTGGAGATAGCCCTATGGCTATAAATAAGACAAATTGCTTAGACTGGTACATTTTTCATTTACTTACTAAACCATTCAGTACCTAAGCCAGGAAAAAAAGGCCTACTGGGTACCTTCTTTATGTTGGTAACTGGAACCTACTTTACAAATAAATTCAAGGTGTACACTATCTACATATCTTGAATACATTGCCCATAATTCTGATTTGCTTACAACTGTTCTCTCTCTCATGTTTTCTCTCCCGCCATTCTGAGAAAATCTCATGTATAAGCTCAAAGTGTAAACATGTTTCTCCCCCATCACTGTGAATGCACACTGACTCCTACACTGGAGCTGGAAGCCCTTCAGGTTCTCTTTCAGGCCTGACTCAAAGGACTCCAAGATTTCAACCGGGCTTGTATCCAAAGAGACTTCAGAAAAGTCTTAAAGTAGAACACTGTGCCTCTGGTCTTTTCCAGGGTAGATGAATGGTTAAAATGCGAGTGGAGGGAGAAGACAGGTGAGGATTAGCAAGAGAGAAATGAAATGATGGGAAGAAGGAAAAGAAGTAGGCAAGGGACGAGAGAACAGAAATAGTAAGCATAAAGGTGAAGTGTGCCATTTAAGTTTGTTTCTTTAGAGATTTAATTTTGAGTTGTGTTGTATTATACTTTGTAGATTTAGAAAAAGATTCTGAGAGGCTTTTCACTCTTTTTTTTTTTTTTTTTTTTTTTTTAGTAGAGGGAGAAAGGGTGGTGAGGGGGAGAGGGAGAGAGAGAGAGAATCTTAAGCAGGCTACACACCCAGTACGGAGCCCCACACGACACTCCATCTCACCACCCCGAGATCATGACCTGAGCCGAAATCAAGAATCCCACACTTAACCGACTGAGCCACCCAAGCACCCTGAGGCTTTTCACTTTTAAGGAAGAGGGGATAAATTCTCCTTGACTGCATTATAACTATCATCCTGGTGTTTGTGCAAGGAAACAGTTCTCTGTCAGTTAGTGGACTCTGAGACCTTATCAGGTCCCCTGGGAAGTTGTCAAACCCCACTTAGAGCAGCAAGAACATTTCTATTCACACTTTGTCACTGTTCCCCTGAATAGACACCAAGGAGAGAGCACTGTTAGATGACTTTAGGAACTCACTTTTTGCTGTGAGGAAGCAAAAATGCTGACTTTTGTCAGTGCAATCGGTTATTCATTGCAGCTTCTCAATGCAGACTTCTGTAATGTATTTTGAAATTCCCCATCACACTGACAGAATTTTAATAGATGATGGATTGCACCAAATATCTACTCTGCATAGCATCATGTTACACTGGGATCTTATATGAATGCACAATTGTAATTCCTGTGTTGCAATACATTGGGTATTTTGTTAAATCTGTGCTGACAAGGCGAAAAGATGATAGTTCCCAAGAAGAAGCATAGTCCTATTCCCTTAAATTGAATTTAGGCTCATTTGAATCATAAATCTTCTGTTTTTCATATGGTTAGCATTATATTATCTCAAGGAGAAAGGTCAGCTTTCATTTTTACTTAATTACAAATCAGTTATCTAATTACAGTAGTCTAAGAAATGGAAGATGCCCTATTGAATCATTGGATGGTTTCTTGCCATGCATGGTTAAATTATGACTTTTATGATTAATAAACTTTAAGTAGATAGCTAAAGAGTAAATATAAACTCCCCCTCTACAACAAGGCTGTTCAAGAAATCTCCAGAACATTTGATTTGGTCATTCCTTATCAGGAAACAGACAAGGCCTAAAGGCTTAGTTTTAGAGGTTGTATGCTACAAATTTATAGGTGTATTTTCTGTAAAAACCCATCACCTAATGTGGAAAGAATATTGAAATCATTTGAATTCTGTTCAGAAAGCAAGGTTTTTCAGATATTATCCTTTTACTGTAACACTTGAGCTGAGCAAAAATCCTAAATCTCATAGTTTCATTAGCAAAGTAATAAAGTCAAAATGCTTTGGCTATCAAAGGAGTTAACTTGGTAAATATATATCTACAGGCCAAATCTTTTTTTAACTACATAGCAAAAACAAAATGACAGCGACTCTAACATATTTATACTATTTCTACTGGAAGATAATTCAAATGAGTGAGAATAACCTTAGCAGGAGCATCTTCTTTAGAGCCTTACCTCCTTTTAAATATACTGCTGGGGTAAAGTGAATATGAACAAAACCATTTACACAGAAAGCCTCTTAGACCTTGACTACTGTAAAAAAAAAAATAGTGCTGGCTTTCCATTGTTA